AGGCTTTATTTTAAATGAAGACTGCAGCTCTGGACACTGGACCTCAGGGACTGATTTGCAGATCTGTCAAGGTAAGGACATACCAGGAAGAGCACGGTCTGAGCAAGAGCACGGTCCGAACAAATGGCCCAGATAGATGATGAGGTCTTCACAGAACACAACAGGTTAGAGAAAATTGGTAGGCTGAGCAGAATCCAGAGGGCCAGGCAGGGGTCAAACCCTTGAGATCAGAGAGCAAACGTTGGCAGACAAGAATCAGGCATAAACAGGGGTTCAGAAAGGCAGAAATTGGCCAGGTTCTTTAAAGAGCTTGGTTTGGCTTGAAAATGCTGGATCTCTTCGGCTGAAGGCTTCAGATAATCTGGCACTGGTGCAGTGGCTGAGAGAGGCTTGAAACAGCTTGAGATAATTAGGCAGACACAGGTGAGCTGGGTTAAGTGATAGGAGTTGAGGGAGAGCAACAAAAAAAGGAAAAACCGGACATGAATAGTCCAGAAAACATGAATCATGACACCTTGTATATGTTTCCATTAGGTAATGTTATTAAACAGCATGGGATAAATTTTCATTGTTATGCTGATGATACACAGTTATATTTGTCCATGCAACACAATGAATCCAATCAGCTACTTAGACTACAAACATGTCCTAAAGACATAAAAACCTGGATGACCCTAAATTGTCTGCATTTGAATACAGACAAGACTGAGGTTTTAGTTTTTGGACCTGAGCATCTTAGGAATGAATTTTTCAGTCTTTTGCCCTCCTTTGATGGCATTAATCTGGCCTCCAGCTCTAATGTTAAAAAACTTAGTGTTGTGTTTGATCAGGACATGTCTTTTAACCCCCACATTAAAAATGTTACTAGAACTGCCTTCTGCACCTGCTTAATATTGCTAGAATTAAAAACATTTATCTAAAAATTATGCAGAAAAATTGGTTCATGCATTTGTCACTTCTAAACTGGACTATTGCAATGATTTGTTGGTGTCCAAATACTTCTTTAAAAACTCTTCAGTTGATCCAAAATACTGCTGCCAGAGTCTTAACTGGAGTTAATAAGAGAGCTCATATCTCTCGTTTTAGCTTCTCTCTATTGGCTCCCTGTCAAGTTCAGATCTTGAATTCAAAATCTTACTTCTAACCGACAAAGCCCTCAACAACCTAGCTCCATCCTATATTCGAGATCTTATTGTTCCACATTTTCCTTACAGAGTACTTGGCTCTCAGACTGCAGGCTTACTCGCAGTCCCTAGAGTTTCCAAAAGCAGAATGGGGGAAAGATCTTTCAGTTTTCAGGCTCCTCTCATGTGGAACCATCTTCCATATCCTGTCCGTAAGGCTGACACATTGTCCAGTTTTAAGACTGGGCTTAAGACTTTCCTTTTTGCTAAATTCTATAATTAGAGTTGGCTTGTTATTCTGCTATAGGCTTAGACTACTAGAGGACAATTTGACCTAATTTAATGATTTGCTAAAATTGAATAGTTTTCATTTGATTTCTATCTTAACATGTGATTCTTGACCTGCCATTGTGTATCTGTTCCTACCAAACCCAGCCAGTTGAAACAAATGACCGCTTGTCCTGAGCCTGGTTCTGCTAAAGGTTTGTTCCTCATAAGGGAGTTTTTCCTTTCCACTGTTGCCTTCATGCTTGCTCAAGATGACGATGGATTTAAACTCAAAGCAGTCTGCTCCTTAGATAAATAGTATTAAATTATTATTTTTATATATGAATGCTTCTGTTCTGTGCCCTGGGATGGCTTCTGTTGTGACTTGGCGCTATACAAATAAACTGAATTGAATTACTTTATTATTTCAAGAAAAAAAAAAATACTGCCTCTCGATGACTTTAACAGACATTGGAGGGAGGGGGGAACTACTTAAGCAGTTACATAATACATAGCGAGACATATTAAGCAGCTTAAACTGCTTGCATTCTTTGTCTAAACTATGTAAATCAAAGTAAAGTCTGAAACATTCAACAAGCAGTACATGTCCAGTCTGGGATCAGCAGTGGGTGCTTCAGTGCATAATATGTAAGCTCAGTGATGAGTAAGCACTTCTGCTATTGCTCCTGACAGAACTGACAGTTTCCCTTCAGTAATACAAAGCTGCAGCTTCATCTCAAGGCTGTATGAATTGAGACAGATTATTTGGGGAGTGATTCAAATCTGTCATAAAGTCTTCAATGCAATACACTATAACTGGATGGGGCTGACTTGATCAACATTTCTTTTAGACAAACTATTCCTGCAAACACAGCTGTCTGTATGCTTAAGGCTTAGCACATGGAAACTGAAGAATACATGGAAATTTCCACATTCAACAGATGTGGAAATTGCAAGAGTTGGAAAGGTAATTGTGGAGTGAGCTTGTGCCTAGAACATCCGATGTTTTCATGAACTATCATATTTAGATTTTAATCCTACTATTGAGCATCTCAACAAGTTTTACTGTTCCATGTAATTTATATTTGGAGATCTATGTACATATGTGAATTACACACAGAATGTAATGCAGTTATGTGAATGTTTCTAATATTTGAGTTTTTTTGATAATAGTAAAATATAAATCATACTGGCATGGGCTGAATCCTGTTTCCAGTAGCTATGCTGTGTAATGTTATTTGTTCAAGTCAAAGTCAAAGTTTATTTATTTGTCATACGCACCACATGTGTTACATGTGGTGGAACAAAATTGTGCACACAGTGTCCCTCAGGGTCATTTGCAACACACACTAGCATAGAACGCTATTGTTTTTGTTTGTGAGTATTAGCCAAAATCATAAACACAATACATCAAGTTGGACATTACACTGAGTGTCGTAACTTTAAAAGGTAATACTTCCTAATATTTTATCAGGCAGGTGAATACATTTGGAAATTTGCAAAGGCTAACTTTGGTAAAAATGTGAAATTTATCTGTGTAAATCTAGTCAAAATTAATAAATTACATAAAGAAGATTCAATTACAGAGGCATCAGCATAAAACAAAAGTTTGCACAGAAAAATGTGTTTGAAAAAAGTTCCCAATGTCTTATTTGATTAGAGGTGACCGAACTGGCAACTGGACACTAAGCTAAAAATGTGCACTCGCTCACTATTCTCACTTTGTGAGATTTGCTTGAATGCTTATCTTTAAAACCATCCAGCGGGATATTCTGGTTGTGCAGTTGAATAATCTTATTTTTCTTCCTTTTTTAAGAATGTTCCACTATTTTAACAGCAGTGCATAAATAGAGGATATAAAGCTAAACTTTTATAAACCTATAGACTTGTTTTTTTTCTTTTCTTTTTCATTGATTTTTAGACTATGTTGTAGTGTGGTATGACTTTAGTACCCTGAATTTAACTAAAGTAAACTAACAGCCTGCACACTTTGTTGACTTGAAAATAAGTACTGCAGTTAAAATGACATTGGGTGAGGCATGAAGACATTTCTAAAGCGTTTGAAAATTTACACTATGCAAATTTGATTAATGTGCACTCTGGCTTTCAATGTTAAATTTAACTAGAGAAAACGTTTCAATTTTTTTTGTTTGTCCTAAAAGTTGCATCCCCGGTATACAGTTTATTGCGCTTTGGATAAAATGTGACAGTATACTATATAATGCAAGAAAAGATAGACAGTACAATACAAAAGTGGATTGCTATGCCCAGAGCTAAAGGATATGCAGTATATTACAATAGGGTAAACAATCAAAAATGAACCAAAAGGAATTTTATCTGTCTTGACTATACATTCAACAATTTTCTTTTTGAGGCTGGGGTTCTTTTTAAATGTGCTGATCAAAGAGTCACAAAACAAGTCCTACAGTGTCTGCATTCACGTTGAGCTAAGTTTGAGGAAATTGTGACTCAAGTAAGTCTTTCACAAAATGAACATTAAGTGTTTCAGTATGGTCTAATTATTGCACTTGGTTATAAAGTCTGTATGAATGTTACTAAAATAAGATCTAAAATATGAACTAAAAAAAAACATTAACTAAAAACACATTAAGCACTAATAGCATAAAAAAATACGCCGAACAGCAGAACGAACATGAGTCTGTGTGAGCAGATGAGTATGAACTAGGAATGTGCGATATGGCATAAAATTCATATCACGATATGTATTGTGAAGGGTGGCGATAACGATATATATCGCAATATGTTTTTGGTATAAAACTTGCAATATGAATTAAAAAAGCAAAGGGTGTCCTTTTGTCATCATATATTTTGAATTAAGAAAATTCCACTACTAGGTCCAGAGAGTTATAAATAATAAACAAATCAAGTATTATGCTTCTTTCTTGTAGTGCAAAACAGTGCAAAAGAGATCAAATGTAGTTTTAGCCATATGTTTTAAACAAAAGAATATGTTGTTAACTCTTTAACAGTTTCCAGTCTCACTTAACCTTCCTACTATGTTAGGGTCCGTAGTGACCCATTTTAAATTTTAAATCATGATACTGTCTTTTAAATATTTTTTTTTGCATCAAGGCTTTTTGACTTTGTCTGGAACCTTTATTTAAATAAAAAATATATATATTTTTTTTCACTAAATTTAATTTTTATTTTTTATAGAACAACACGCACTTGCCGCGCTGGGGTCATTTGTGACCCAGTTATGGTATAAGACTATCAACCAATAATCAGTGTCAAAACTGAAATCATAAACACACTGTGACCTCACTAACTTTGTCATACATATGTTAGGGCCTTCTGTTTTTACCTGTTTGTCTACTTCACTGACCAAAACATCCCCATTTATCCGTACTACTTTTATTGATAAGTCCCTCATACTCTGCTCCCAAAAACTGAAAAAGTTCATCCAGCTGTAGATGCAGAGACATGTTGAGGCATGCCCATGTAGAGATAAGCCTACCTGGATAGCCATGCCCATCTTGATAGGCAGACCTAGATAGACACACCCACCTGGGTGTGTCTCTACATGGGCATGTAGAGACATGTAGAAACAGACACTCCATTTTACCTAGAGCTTGGCTGCATACCAAAATGAAGAGAAGATTCACAGTACAAGAAGCTCTAGATCACATCCTTGCTGAAAATGATGCAGAGGACACACCTAGTGTCACAGATGAGCCAGTTTCTGAGGAGGACGATGCTATTGAATATGAATCAGAGTACACAGACTCGTCGGATGAGGAGGGCACAGGTGCTGAAGCTGCTCCTGTAACTGAAACCTATAAATCCAAAAAGGGTAACATCACTTGGAGTGCGATTCCTCCTGTTTCACATGGCAGGGAAGCTGCTGAAAATGTTATGAAGATGACCCCTGGGATTACAAGGTTTGCTTTGACACGAGTAAGTGACATCAAGACATGCTTTGATTTGTTTATGCCATTGTCACTAAAGAAAGTCATCATTGCTATGACAAACCTCGAAGGGAAAAAAGTTCACGGTGACACTTGGAAGGACATTGATGAGGAGTGCCTGGATGCTTTTATTGGTGTTCTTCTTCTCGCTGGCGTGTACAGATCCAGCAATGAGGCCCTTACTAGTCTCTGGGATGTGTCCACAGGCAGGAGTATTTTCCGCGCAACAATGTCACTTCAGACCTTTCAAATGATCTCAAGAGTCCTCAGATTTGACAACAGAGATACTAGAGCACGGTCTGACAAGCTTGCTCCCATCAAAGACGTCTGGGATAGATGGGTGAAGCTCCTTCCACTGATGTTCAACCCAGGACCAGAGGTGACAGTGGATGAGCGTCTTCTCCCTTTCCGTGGAAAATGCCCCTTCTGGCAATACATGCCCAGTAAGCCAGGCAAATATGGCATAAAAATCTGGGCAGCCTGTGATGCGAAAACCAGCTATGCCTGGAATCTACAGATTTACACAGGCAAACTTGCAGCTGGCATCCCTGAGAAGAATCAAGGAAAACGGGTAATCCTTGATATGACTACTGGACTGCGGGGTCACAATATCACGTGTGACAATTTCTTCACCAGCTATGATCTTGGACAAGAACTTCTCAAGAGGAAACTTACCATGGTGGGCACAATAAGAAAAAACAAACCTGAGCTGCCCCTTGAAATTTTGCAGGTGAAAGACAGGGCTCCACTGTCTTCAAAATTTGCTTTTACAGAAACCACCAGTGTTGTTTCATACTGTCCCAAAAAGAACCGGAGTGTGATACTTATGTCCACTCTTCACAAAGATGCAGCTGTGTCAACAAGAAGTGACAAAAAGCCTGAAATCATCCTGGACTACAATAAAAACAAAGGAGGAGTGGACACCCTGGACAAGCTGACTGCCACCTACACTTGCCAGTGAATGACCAGGAGATGGCCAATGGTTGTATTTTACCACATCCTAGATGTGTCTGCATACAATGCATTTGTCTTGTGGACCCAGATTGACTTGGGGTGGAACGCCAAAAAAAAACCACAAGTGGAGATTGTTCCTTCAGGAGCTAGGAAATTTGTTGATCAAGCCATACATTGAGAGAAGGGAACGGATACCCCGAGACCCAGCCACTGCGAACGTTGTCAGACAGCTCCGGAGCACCACTCCAACCACATAATCAGCTGCACAAAGTGCATCAGTGACAACATGCCCTTCAGGCAGCCGGGTTTCAACATCGACCACACCCACAACTCCACCTGCTTCAAAACGAAAGAGGTGTCAGGTGTGCCCAAGCAATAAAGACCGGAAAACAAACACATTGTCCCTTGACTGCAGAAAATACATATGCAAAGAACATACGAAAACTGCCACTTTTTGCAACACGTGCATCTGAACACAACGCAAGTTCATACGCAAGTTCATACGCATGCATGAAAGACAGAAAGAAACTAGAAAGAGCATGTTTGTAACTAGAAGAGTATTTATTTCATTTTGATTTTTTCTTGTCTTTCTCAATCTGTATTTTGTATTATTACTTGTTCTGCTTTTTATTTTATATTGGTATTAAAGTTCAATGTTTGAAAAGAAATGTTTCTTCCTTTTTTTGACGTAAATATACATGGGTCAAAACTTACCCTTAACACTATAAATGTTACTATGGTTAATAATATTAAAATAACAAAATAATAAGACAAATTTATTTTAGAGATGTGTTCTAATACTTCTTAAAAAAAACACTGTTTTGAGGGCATTTTTTGGCTGATTTAAGACGGGTCACAACTGACCCGTAAACATCATAAGTGTGTGCGGGATTTAAGAAATGAAAAGCAACAGAGCAGCATTTTACACTGAAACACTTCACCCTCCAAACCTCTAGTGGGCGTTTGCTTCTGCTTTAATGGAGAGCTGACACATAATGAGTCTGTGGCTTTGACCAGAGGGTCTTGCAGTAAAAACACACAACACAGCATTCTTTTACAGATCAGAGAGCAGGTTTCTCTAAAGCTGACCAACGCTGACTTTAACTTTCCATGGAAAAAAACAACAAAACTTTCTACGGAAAAAAAAAAACAACTTTTGACGGAACACAGCGTTTTGCGCATGCGTCCGAATATGGCAACACTACGGTAAGCTGGCTGTAGTCAGCTTGTAGCTTCGCTACTTAGCTCTCGAAGAAAAGACTTTAACACCACTTGCGCACAGTTTCCAACTAAAAAAAAGAAACAATTAAACTGACAACTCTGATTTTACATCAGACACAGCATTACTGCGGTTAGCCAGTAGAAGTCAGATCTCTATCGTAGGCTAAATTTCTATTGTTTCTACCTTGTACCTTTTATATTGCGCATTCCTAGTAGGAACACAGCAACATGAAACAGATCAGCAGCAACATGATGTGATTTTTTTCACAGTGATTATCCTGGTTAGAGATTCATGAGTCTAAGAGCCTCAGGATAGAAGCTGTTCCTCACTCTAATGGTTATAAAAGTGTTTTTTTTTTTACCTGTCCAGAGGACCATACTTAACTTTTTTAGATGTTTCTACCTAGATTAATGAGCATGCATCAGGATAGTGGTTCTACACTTAACCTCCTGCCTGAGGGGAGCGGGGCAAACAGTGCGTATGCTGGGTGAGTGGGGTCCTTCATGATACAGGTGGCCCTCTTCATCATCTGGAGGTGTAGATGTCTGTGATGATGGGGAGGCTGACTCCAACAGACTTCTGTGCAGCCTTCACCACTCTCTGCAAAGCTTTTCTTTCTGCAGCTGTGCAGCCTCCATCCCACACGTTGATGCTGGAGCACAGGATGTTCTCCACTGTGCACCTGTAGAAAGAGGTGAGGACTGAGCTTCCCAGTCCACTGTGCCTCAGCCGCCTGAGGAAGTAGAGTCTCTGATGAGCTTTCTTGATCAGGCTGATAGTGCTGCTGCCCCAGCTGAGGTTGTCATTCAGGTGCACACCCATATGGTGTTGAACTGAAACATTCAACCATATGGTAAACTAAATATTACCGTGGAGACATCCTTTAAGATTTTTTTCTTCTCTCTTTATTTACACTAATTAGAATAGTTTGAAAAAGTTTCAGACAAGCAGATGTTCTAGATCCATTACATAACATGTGATACCTTCATTATCCATCAGACAATACCTTGACTCTGCTTCTTGCCAGTTGACAAATACCTAAGCATACTGTAGACATGCAAACCCCTGTCATTTACAATGACTTCAGTGACTAGAAGAACATGAACAGATGGTTATTTGTTTGCTTGATCCTGTTAGTCTGAAATGACAACAGCAACAAAAAGGATAGGCGGAAGTGTGACAGTCTAAACCGACAGAACAAAGTAGGTTCTCCCACAAGGTTAAAATAAACAATATGGGGAATGTGATCACACCAGATGTTTATTTGATGGATTCATTGTCTGAATTTGAACTTATTATTTGTAATGTTTAGCCATTTGTTTCTAATTCAAACATGTTTTTATTAGTTTTTTGGTAGCAATGCATAATGCACCTATGCAGTCGGTCTCTATCTGTAAATATTCATAATGTAGCTATATTATGCATTGCTACTAACCTCTTTTGCATTTTCTTATATGTGTTTTTCATAGTCATAGCTACTTCAAAAAGTAGATGCTTCACCACAGGCAGACCATGAACACTCCACTTCACCAGTTATCTGTTTACAAATTACAAACTTTATCCAACGCTATCATTTTACATAATAAATAATCATCACTTCATGTCTGAGAGAACACTTCCAAAATTTATGACAAGATCTCATTAACCCTTATCAAGCAAAAAATAATTAAATAAAATACCTTCAAAACTGTTATATTTTATGTACAAACAGCACTGAAGCATGCTTCAGCAGCCTGCAGGTCCATAATAAATAGCATCAAGCATAAAAATGTCATCAAGACATTCTGACTTTGCTGTTTCACCTGGAACAAGTGAAGTGCAACTGGCCAGAGGGTTTGATCATAATTGAAACATAAAGGAGTTTATCCAAAGAAGAGATATATGGATGCAGTTAGAGAGGACGTGGAGGTAGTTGGAGTGAGGACAGAGGATGCAGAGGACAGAGTAAGATGGATGAGGATGACTCACTGTGGAGACCCCTGAAGAGGGAAAAGCCGAAAGAAGAAGAAGAAGAAAAAGACGCAACAAAGATAAAACAGTCTTAAGATGCCATTAGTGAAATATGTTGTTATAAATGTTACTTATTTTCCCACATCTGTTAAAAAAATATGAACGTTTGAGGTTTCACAAAACCATTTCTGATAAAGTTACATTAACCTAAGAAGTAAGTGAAATACAGAATAGCCATGTACCAGCAATGCACCTTCATCCATGCTAATATGACCTGAAAGGTTAAATACACAGGATTATAAGGAACTAATGCATTACAGTACTCTAGTACGGTACAAGCTCTGACGGAAGATCAAAAGTTACTCACCTGAAATGCTGTAGCAGTAACATCATCTGTATGTATTATTTTTGTAAATAGACAGTGAGGTTTATTATCACTGAAAAAACTTGGCTGTTGCTGAGGCAGAAGCTCAGATGTGGGGAGAATTTAGTGGGGCCTTGGATAGAGACGCTCAATTGGTTCCGAGGAGATTCTGGCAAACCAGCAAAAAACCCCACCCCCCAAAAAAAAAAAAAAAAAAAATAATTCATAGAACCTACAAATTTTGCTTAAACTTGGGGTATACAACAAAGAAATTGATTTGGTATCTATTTTCCACATAACTTTGCTGATGACACTTGCTGTGCACAAGTGGGTGCATGTGCAACTTACCATTGGGACATTTTATGGTTTGAATGATAAAAAGCTTTTTATAAAACAGCTGCCAAAGTCACCACAGATAGATTAAGAATACGAATAAGAGGAAGAACTTGTAAAAACAGCTGTAATTTCTCCTTCCATCTGCCAACAAAAGCATGCTGAGCTATGTCCCCTAAAGTCATTTTAGCTGTGTTTGACTGTGGTCTCAGGAGAGCTGGACACACAGTGCGTATGCAAATAGATTTATGAACAACCAATTAAACTGAAAACTCATCAAACAAAAGGGGACCACAAAGGAGAGACCTGCCACAACAGGAAAGAAGACACCCGGAGAATAAGCAGACAGAGACACTGAGAAATTGTTTTTATTATCACATACAGTGTAGAATTTATGTTTCTTCATAACGGCCTGCAGGACATATCATACAGACAACTTTACTTAGAAGAATTTTAGTTCCTAATGTTCCCAACAATCATTTCACAAAGTTTAAATTCTATTGCATAAATGCTTATAAAGAAATAGGAAGGAGTAAGAACACATGGGTAAAGAGCCATTCTTTGCTGTACAGCTGGATTATGACCGAATGAGTTTAGTCTTTTGTTCAAGAGAAACACTAAAACTCCCAATTTGTCTGTGTTTACACACTATGATTAATAGTTGCCCAGTAATCATCTGCAGCCAACAGGGAAATTAAGGGTTATGTACCATTTCTTTATTGCATTGATTATTTGTTTACATGCCGGTGGTCTGTAATGAAAACAAGTTAAATAAAAGTATTGCTGTCTCCAATGAGGGGCTCTTTGCAGATAGTAAAGTCAGATTTCCAGAGACACTAATAGTGATTAATGGTGCAGTGTTATTATTGCTATTGGTGCAATTCAAATGAGTGCAATGTAATGAAAAGCCAGCTAAAATAAAGCAGGAGTCAATAGATTGGGACCTGTTTTTGCTGGAAAAAAGAAACAAACAACCAAAAACACTTTAATGTAATGGCCTGAGAATGACCGGCATCGGTCTTCAACAGGGTGTACAGTTCCTTAAAGCTGATTATTGTCATCCATTCATTTTTATTAACACCAACCATATTGAGACCAACAGTCGTCATTGGAAGCAACACCAAATTCTAATGAAGCA